CACGGATACGTGTCATCGACACTCGACTCTACTCCGCTCCTGGCAGATTACTGTTCGTCGCGTGGCGACTGTAATCATTCCGCCGTCGGCTCACGGATTCGTGAGGCCGACACAGATAAGTTTCATAGCACCGCTGGCCGCATCCGAAATTGCGTCCGAACGAGCCGAGCTCGTTGAATCATAGAGGAAACTCCGAGAGCTAAGGTCCCGTGTACGAGGACCGACGGCCGCACCGCATACACCGAACCGATTCAAATCTCCGCGATAGGAGATCAAAGGGAAGCGCCACTAAGGCCATATCCCGCGTGCAGCTACGCTGCAATTTCAACGACCGTGAACATTAAACGATTCCGAAACGCCGCTAACATCGCTGGGAAAAGTGTCCACCGCACTTAAGAGACACGACGCCGAAAGAAACATCAACAGAATAGACTCGCGAAGACGCGACACTGACGTCGTCTGCGTCCCGCGCACCGCGCGTCACCTCACACAAATCGGCGTCTAAACAAACCTCTGTCAGGCGATACAAACAACCAAAACCAAAGACGTCGACACGTATTGTTCGATATATATATTGTCATTATCATCAGCTTAGTATTTTAAATATATTATTCATTATTATTTTCTTAAAACACTGTTTCTCAATTATTCCGCCTATCACGAACCCGATCCGACAAGCGATTCAAATCCGCAACGAATCGCGGTTACATCTTTATTTTCAGCTTGTGGATGTTTCTCTATAGAAATAGTTTGTTGGACATTTTTAGCTGTCTTCGAAGCTAGCTGTTTTAAATTTAATAATATTTTAGGAAAAGGGCTTGAAGGATGAAAAGTTTCCGAATTAAGATTAGGCGGCGAGAATGGAGAGGAATAATGAACTGGAGACATTACAAAGGGACTTTGAACGATTGGGTTTACTGTAGGAACTGAAACTGTGGAATGTTGAGTCGGAACTATAGAAGCGAAAATATTTTGCAAGCCAGTTAACAATTGATTAGTTGTTTCTTTTAAAATACTTCTTTGGCTTTCAAGCATATTGTTAATTATTTCTTTTTCTAACTGTTTTTCGGATTCCATTAACGATTGAATAAAGCATCGATTCTCTGTCATAATTTTGCTTTGAACTTCTTCATAGTTTTCTTTTAATTTATCCGCATATCTCAAAGTAACAGCTTCATTTGATCTGCTCACTTTACGTTTCTTTGCAGGTATAGAACTATTAACTGTACTTAGATTTACGGTATTTGTATCGCTTGGCGAATCTTCTGATCTATATTCTGTTGTACAGTTATTGTTCGATGTCGACGAACATCCTAGGACAGCGCCGTCTCGTGGATCTGGTTCATCTTCGTAAATACTATTGCTTGAATCTAGTATAAAATAGATTTTTTTCATATTATCATAGATATTTTACCTACTATACTACTATTGTTCTTCATAAAAGTATACATATAACATAATCACTTACAACTATAATCATTGTTCTTAGAGAGATCTTGTAATGGTGTACTGTCTACAACATCTCCTATAGCAATAGGACGAAAATCCAAAAGTTGGCCCATTTCTTCTGCATATGGAAATAAGGACATGCAGTTGCCAGCTCCACTTTTTCCCATTTGTCTTCGGATTTTGTTATATTGCACTGAAAATTGCAAATGACATAACAAAATGAAATTATTCTTGAATAAATTAAAAGTCCTATATAGCATCAAGATAATATCTGTCACAATGAAGTCATTATTAATG